TAAAGATCTAAGCATACATACGGACATACAGCGAAAGCGACTTTGTTTTATACTATGTATTGAAGTAGACTCTGTAAATCCAGCTGAAACAATCATTCTTTTTTTTTTTGTTCAATCCGGTGTTACCCATGTTACGATTTTTACTTCGTTCGACTTGGTATAGTACCAACCTACCTACCTTTGTTTTATACAAAGTTTTGGGATGTAGGTACATAAAGTTGAAACGAAACTTTCAATACCTATGCATTTCCTCAATTTGCTTCCGTATTATTTTCGTGTCGCCAAATTCAGGGCGGTAAAAATATTATAGGCAGTGAAAACCACACAGATGCTGAAGTAAGTCTCATACTATTTTAACTCATAATCCTCTCGACAGCAAAATTAACTACAATAAAGTTAGGGCTTTCTTATTAGTTCATTGGAGCAAATAAATGCGAGCTGTAGGTCTTGCATCAATATCAAATGACGATAGACGTTCGTAATCAAATCAAATTGCAGTATAAGTAATACGTCGGCAATTGTTCTACATTGCGTGGGCACAATAAAACAGGGTGTACACATTTTTTTAGCAAGGGGGCGTTTCCAAGGTCGAGACGCACCTACGCTCCTGGTCTTATCCTCCTATCGCGCGGAATTCAATAAATAAACGTTTATCAAATGAAAACACACTACATTCAAGTTCTAATAATAAAGCAAGACAATTGTAAAACTGCACATACGTCAAAAACAAACAAATGTATTAAAACACTGTTTGTCATTAGCCAAACAAAACTAATGCAAATTCATTTTTACAATGAAAACAACTCATCGGTATTGACTTTTAGGAAGTAGTTATTTGTAAAGAGATCCGCACTGATATAATTTTTAAAAATAAAGGTCTTTTGTAAATAATTCAAAATCTAAAATTATTTAACACCCTGTTTTTGATCAGGAAGATAATGTTTTCTTATCTTGACAACTGCTTAGCTTAAACTTCGGCAATAAAGGAATTATATGGCTCAATTTACCTCTTCTAAAGCACTGATGGTCTGACGACATTGTGGCATGCGAGATACGAACGTAGAAGTAGTAGGTGAACTGTAATCCTCTCGAGTTTCCTCAATGAATTCACCAATACCAATAAGACCCGGCATGGTGGCCAGACGCGAAGTTCCACTAGTTCAAGTCCCAAGCTTCACATCCGTCTATAGTTAACAAATCACACGAAACCAACGAACTTTACGATGCAAACTGAACACATTATCACCGACAAAACACTTCTGCGCAAATAAAAACAATATCGCATCTAAACACGTCAACTCACGAACCGCCCATTCTCGGCAGAGATGAATGAAGTTACTAAATTGATTGAAACCGAATGAGGAGGAACGAATTTGAATGGAATTGGAATGAACGAAAATAAATGTTGTTATGTTGCAGGTATTGTTTCCGGTCCTGGGATATTTTGTTGTCGGATACACAAATGCACGTCATTTTCCCCGCTATAAAGCATAATATATATGTCGAAGCGTCAACGCATATCAATTAATTTAGATGTGGCAACTATTGTTTGAGAACGTCAAGTAATTACTTGAGGATGGTTAGCGCGGAGTAATGGCAACACCGATGGAAATATCGATCCGGAAGTTTAATCAGACTTTGACATTTGACAGCAAATGACGTTGACAGACGTCACTGAGCGCGGGAAAGACTTTTGGAAAGGATCGCGGTGGTGGCGGCAGCTAGAAGGGTTACTCCCCGCTAAACTTCCTGCGTTCTTACTAATAACAATAATTTGGTGTGATTCGACAATGTCGCGACCCACCGGTAGCGTATCTCCGACATATATAAAAGTAGAAACACAAATCTACAGTAATTTTATAATAATAAATAAGCTTTATTGTACACCAAGCAAGTAATTACACATATTCGGAAATTATAAAGAATAAGGAGAGTATAAGAGCGGCCTTATCGCTAAAAGCGATATCTACCAGGCAACCTTTAATTTTAATTTTAAGTGTTTTATTGTTTATTTTTCGTTTATTATGTACAGAAAAGTTATTGATTGCATCAGTATCTTTTAATTATTTCTATAATTTACAAAACAAGACCAAAATGAATAATAAAAGCTTTCATTTAATGTTATACGTTGATACGTCAACTGGAAAAAAATATCCGAACGCAAAACGGAAATCATACGTGTTGTAGCCACTGGCTGTCAAAAGATAGTAAACTGAATGACATTATGACGGAGCTGTCACGAGGTTTGTGTGGCCTACTTATATTTTATTATTTTAAAATATTCTCTTATTGTTTATATCTCATTTTGTAAGTTTCCGTGAATTATATATAAAATAATTTATAAGTTCAATTACCGACTTAAATGTAAATAACATAGTCCCGTATTTTATTTATTTACAAATAAAGAAAGGCATTACAACATACATCTACTATTGGCAGTATTTATTCTATAGCATATTATCCTATATTTGAACATTTCAACTTGCTGCTATTATATATGCCAAAGGAATAGAACTTTCTTAAAAGTCCCTTTTGCCGTGAGAATTTGACCTTTGATTTACCTACTTGCAGAGATTGGAGAGATCTGGTCAAGATTATTCGACCATCGCCCATTCCTAAATGGTGAAATAAAGTTTATGCTAAAGGAGTTTGAGGTATGTATTAGTATCTAAAATACTGGGCAACTACCTAATACTTATCTTTAATTCTGGTCATTCTCACTTAATAGTGTAATATTACCTTACTTAATTTTTCCATTTGGAATCTGTAGCTGTTTGTATACACCTATTAGATTTGAAGGAAAATCTGAACTTGAGTGTTTAAAGTAAACAATTGTATCATAATGTGTATTTTTATCTTGCTAGTTTTACAGATTAGTGATCACTGGTTGGTTACATTATAAAAGATATCTTTAGAAATGCACCATCACAATGACTAATGTTATCTTCATAAACTTCTCACATATAAATCATAATATCACTGTTCCCTAACCTAAAAATGAAATAGCAATGATAAGCAAATATTTATGATTAAATAAACTTTTATGCAAGATAAAAGTGAATTTGTAATCTGATTGGATTTTTAGGAGAAACGTGGAGATCGAGAAGTAGAGAACTTGTTTTCTATCCTTGAAAAACTAACTGATATCAAGGACAGTCAGGCTGAGAAGATTATAAAAACTGGGGAAACTGGCCTGCCTGTTCTGAAGGAGAAATTAGAACAAGCGCTACAGCTCAGTGCAGAAGTCGAGAAGGATTATCTTGATTCACGTAAGGTGAGTCTAATAGAATAATTCTGAAGTAAGTTAGAGTTTAAAGAATTTATTACTATAAGATTCTATGTTCCTGTTCTTAGCATGAGTAAGTTTGGTTGAACTCATTATTTCATTTTATCCTATTCTGTTGCAGGTCTATGAGCAACGAAGACAGGAACTTAAAGAAAAGAGACAAAAGGAATGGGATCAATTCATTGATGATATGAACTTCAAATGCCAAAGAATTGACAATACTTTTGAAGAAAAAGAAGAAGAGCTAAGGGATTTGTATGCTGACCTTAACCACAAACTAAATATTGCCAAATAAATAATGGATTCTGTAGGATCACTTGTTGATACCAACCTTAGAATCTACCCATCTAATAATTTACTTGATTATCTTAAAAGTATACCCATCACTGATGATGTACCTATAAATATTAGAAAACTGGTTAAGGGAAGAGATTATGAAACAAAACATAAAGAAGCCAAAGATGGTATTGAGATAGTTCCAATACATTTAAATGCCACTGATATTGAAAATTTAAACAAAATAAAAGCTATAATGAAAGTAGATGATGGAGTTAAAGAAGAAGAACAGGATAGTGTTGATGAGGAACCTAAGAAGGATAACATAGATAATGACAAACAAAGTACAATATCTGAACAAACAAATTCTGAAGACCAAGCATTAGATAAAAGTAAACTAAATAAAGAAAAAGAAAAGATAGAAGAAGAAGAATTGTTCTTATTAACTACTGATATAGACTGGCTTTACACTTACCTTCAAAAACAAAGAAAAGCAAAATCAGATGGTGATAAAGATGTCCCATACTTAAATGCTTTATTACAAGGTTCAACTGTGGAAACACCAGAAAACCAAGTACTTCCAAGAGATCCTGTACTTGAGGCAAGATGTGTCAAATTGAGAGCTCAACAAGAAGCAAGAGAATACAGAAAGATGACAAAATCTGTTGATAATGTTAGAATGAATTTTCCAGAAGATAGTATCTCTTATCAATGTATGTACCTATTTATTTATTTTGCTATAAAAAATCTGTTATATTTCGATTAGAGACACAGGGGTAGTGAATTTGATGGAATCATAAAAATATATAGATAGCTGAATTAAATATTTAATTAGGTTTACATTTCATACAATAATTTTGCTTACCTGTACAGCTGATGACTGTATTGGAGTATAAATCTGTAGTTCTGTACATATTGTATTACAATAATGGTTTTAACTAATATAGGTATTTTAATTAATGTATTCACCATGCATTAATTATTAATGACACATTCAGTGTTGCTCCATACTTTTCTATGTTGTGAAATAAAATCAATTCCCTTTCTTCTTTTTAATTAAGTATTACAAGGTGGATGATATCAAACAATAGTGTAATGAAATATTAATACTGATTTTTTTTTCTGGTTTCAGTGAAACAAATGAATCGCCAGTTGATTGCCATCGGACAGTTCATCATATCAATATTTGCTGGATTCTTGTTTGGATTCAGAGGGGTCGAGTGGCTTGTGGGCAATCTAGATTTTGGATTTAGACTATTACTAGGTGTTATCTGTGCCTTAGTAATAGCTCTAGCAGAAATATACTTCCTGGCGAAAAAGCTGAATGAAGAGTTGAATGTTCCAGAAACTGTACAATTAGGCGGTCCTCCTAAGTTTGGAGAATCGACAAATTCACAATATTATGTACCGCGATCGACTCGCGCTATAGAGAAAGAGCATCAGGATTAGTTTTTAATTTATTGGTTTTAAGTACAAGAAATATTGTTTTGTCTTTATATTTAAAAAAATAGAGGTGTAATGGAAAATGTTATAAAGTTTTTATTTATCATAAAATGTGTGTTGTTATTTTAACCTAAGTTAAAATAAAATTTAATGAAATAGAGAGAGGCGAAAAGGCTGACTGTGACAAGTATTTTTAGTTTAACACAAAAATTTCATCATACTGAATCACAATCAAATCACAGCATGATGACCAAGCAATAATCCAAAGTTAGAACCACATCATCAGTTTCTATTGACGATGTGGTAAGGATTCTACCTTACAAATTCGTTGTGTTAATATTATTACAGTTAAGTATTTTGGCGTTAAAAATATCGCACAGATTTATAGAAAACTATGCTAATAAGCAAACCATTACCATAAATATTTGTCCCATACTAGAGATGGTGTCGATGTCCTACAAACCAGTTTGCCTTGATGTAATTTTGTCCAGACTTGTGTAAGACCTTGGATAATGATGAAATCTATAACACAGAAAATAAAGTACAACAATTGAATTAGCCTCCTGTAATAGGCAGTTTGGAGTTAGTAACTAACTCTACAAAAATAATGCACTTCATAAAAAAAATACGGAATGTGGATAGGTAGGTACCTATTTAGATATGAGTGGTGTCTAATATCATATCAAAAGTACACAAGCAAGTGGTAAGCATTAGGTATGGGAAAAATACGTAACGTAAAATGAAATCAAATGCATGAGCTATCTTGAATGTTCAGCATGCTGCTTGAAAGGCAGCACATAAGGGTGCGTCCACATTTGACGAATGTGCATAACTTGTATGAGTTGAGCACCAAACTATTGCCGTGACTGCACGAGGGCAGCCCGCAAACGCCTCGCGAACAAATGTGGACGCACCCTAAGCCTATGCATCAACATTTAATGCAACCAACAACTACTGCGTATGACTGTCGACCGTGGGATTCGATTCCCAATTGTTATTTAATTATGTTAAGTCGTCTGCAGTGAAATGTACATTGGTTATTATTACCTCAATTCAAAAGTATACCAAGTAATAGGGATACCTCCTATCATGATTTACAAACTTTGAACATGACTAGGCGAATAGTCGTTGTTGCTTTTTCGCAGCCCCCTTCTTTCTATGAGTGAAAATATTGATGATATATTATGAATAAAATGGTGAATTATCTTGATGCTCTTAATTTATTTTATTTATTATTGTTACAAATAAACCTTTACTCGTTTATCTGAGATGTAATTTCAGTGGTTTATATTTTTTTTATTTAAAAATCATTTTCTTGAAATACTGACACAAAATAAAATATTGCTTAAAATGGAACACTTAATTACATTCCATCCCAAACAAAAATCTTAAACTCGAAATTTTAACATTAATTTATTTTTCATTCGTACATCATTTTCTCAATTTCAAACATAGAAAAGAGCGAGAGAAAAAGTAAATAAGATGCTATAAATATTTAAAAAGTTTATAAGGGAATGCGACGATGACTTTTTGTTTTGACAGATCGATTGCACAACACAATATTGTTTTTCTCAACTGTTCGATTTGGTGATTCATAATATTATGTTGGTTTATATATCGTGCGCGTCGTAGTGGTCAATATTCACTGTAGAACTTTGTTCAAACTGCGACGCATTACCGTGTCAGTGTGTACTTCGTAAAAATTTAAAATTCTGTTTTTGACTATTTTGAAATATATCAGGTGAGTTTATAAATATACCTATTATTAGTTGTGCAGTTTTCTCACAGTAGAATTGATATTTCGCATCTAACTAGATTTTGTTTAGGTTTATTTTCTATAATCCGGTTGATATAGTTAGTGGAAGTCATACAAAATGGCTTCTAGATAAACAGTTTTGGTGTTATTAGATAAAACTAACATTTCCTTTGTCTTTAAAATGTAATATTATCTCAAAAAATTAAGGAAAATGATTACATCAATTCCAATCGTTTCCAAGTAATCATAAATAGGTTTGCTTTTGTTCTTAAGATCTGCTTAACATTAAAAATAACTTAACTTTTTGATAAATAATTTATTGATGTTATAAATATTAATGAAATTCTGATAGGGACATTAAATTTTATATCTTTTTATGTTGAGTCTGAATTAACTTAATGTTGAATTCAGCAAGTTAAATTATTTAATAAGTTTTTAATTGATATCAAATGACCAATATTTTTTATTATGATCCTACAAGCTACTTAAGGTAGCTATTAGAAATATTAATTTTAATAGATATTTAAGTACTACAGAACTAACAAAATTTTATAAATATTGTTGGGTATTGCATCATCTACCAGTCAGTAACATTTCATAAAATATTATATTCCTTTCCTTCCTCCTATTAATAAAAACGAGTATTTCTTTACAGCCATGGAAGACCAAGTTCCTTTTAAAGTTTATACATTCTGGACTGAGAATGGCAAGCCAGAAGTCCGAAGATTTGGTGTAGAGAAGAGTGTTGTCACCAGCTTTCACTATCTGAATGCCAAGCTCCAGGATGTGTATCCTGGTCTCAAAACGAAGACCTATTCCGTAGCCTGGAAAGGTAAGCACAACATTTTAGGTAAATTAAAAAATGGTACTAAGATACATTTTTCAAGTGAGTAGTTGTAATTAGTGTAATTAAAAACAAATTATGCTATGACGTTCAAAACTTAAAAGAATCAAAGTAACGAATCATTACAATATTAATAATGGTAACCTTCACGACGTGTATTAGCATTGATTAACCTATTTTATTTACTTTCAATTAAAATACAATGACACCTCAGCTGACTTTTCCTGTACAAGTTCAAAATAAATTTTAACCATTTTGTTAGTTGTATTAAATTGAATCTTATTTATCTTATCCAGATGAGGATGGCGATAATGTTGTTATTTCATCGGATGATGAAGTGATGACTGCATTGCAAGTGTTGGGTGGAGATGTCATCAGGCTGTTTGTCTACTGCAAGTCCGAGGAACCCAAGGATGAGGGCTGTGATATTGTATTCACAGCTGTAGCTGGCAATCCTACTGGTAAGTTAATAACTATTTCACAAGTTAATATACTTATTTTTGCAGCACTGTTTCAATTCAGAACAATAAATATCAATAGTCAAGTGCACTTATAAGTGCAATTCAATTACATACTTATATTTATCATCCCAACAAGTAGATTACAATATAACAATTATAGCCTTCCGCATACACATGCCCTGTGTTGTATGTAAGATATAATGAAAGAATTATTAACTCTTTCAGTCACACTTTTAACTGGTTACAAATATATTTTATTCAATTATACTGAAATGCTTAAAAACTAATGCAAAGTAATTTGAAGCATACTTCAAAAATTGAATTTCTAAGAAAAGGTGGTTAGTTACAGTGACCACCAAGACTGAAAGAGTTAAAAGGTACATTTTAAAACTTTAAAATTATCTTTGTAGAAGCTCCGGGTGCCCCAGCAGTTCACTATGGAGTGGTGTGCGATTCATGCGATGGTTCCGTTGTCGGCTTCCGCTACAAGTGTTCCATCTGTGATGACTATGACTTGTGCTCAAGATGCGAAGCCGCAGGCCGTCACCCGGAACATTGCATGATCCGAGTGCCAGCGCCGGCCATGCCTGTAAGTACGACAGGATGTATACATCCGTTTTTATCGCAATAACGTGATTAAGGCTGTTACTATTTTTTTGTAGTTTTTATGGTTAACAGATTATTTAATATGGTTTGTTTCATTATAGCGCACTATCATCAAGGCTGCGATCAAACGGTCTCGCCATTTCTTGAAGTCTGTTGCTAATGCAATGGGCGAGGACTGCCCCTACAAGAAACACCGCAGCGAAAGGGGTTCTGAGAAAAAGCACCGCCATGGCCACGGCGGCCACCACGGCCCCCACGCCGAGCGCGGGCCGCACCACGGGCCGCACGACGACCACCACCGCCGCCGCACTCGCGTCAGCTGGCTCGACACCTTTGCTACTTACATGAATGAGTTCGCCAATCTCGCAGGAGATATTGATCTCGATGACCATAAGCCAAAGACCCCTGAAACTAAGACAGGTACTGGAACTCAGGGACAGACAACCGAAACGCAAGCTCAAACTCCTCAAGAGAGCCAGGAGAAGGCACAGCCAAGCGCCCAATCAACTGAAGCTCCTAAACAACCAGAGCCAAGTACCTCTGCAAATGCTCAAACTCAATGCCCATTCAATACACCTAAGCCATTTAATGTTGATCAACTTATGGAGCTTGTAGAGATGTTTATTGGAAGGAATGGCAATCCATTTGTGCCCCCAGCACCTCAGGCTCAACCTTCAGCACCTGCTAATACTACTGCCCCCACATCAACTCAAACTTTTGATGTGGAAATGGGACAAGGAGACAGGAAGTCGCCTGAGACTGAGACTGTTGATGCTCCTGCTAAGCCAGCATCTTCTTCCGCATCCAGTGTTAGTGATTACGCAAGGGATGCTTCACCAGATAAGGCTGATGACTGGACCCTGATTAACAAGGAAAAAGGTAGTTATAAATGAAGTTTTTTTGTTTTGTTAACAGTGTCATTATTAAGGGTTTTTCTTTTCATTATTTTTACATTTTATATTTATTTTAGATTTGATGGACACGGCTAGTGCACTGCCCGAAACCCCTGCTCCCATCGGCTTCAACTTGCCCCAAGAGTTCCAAGAGCGCGTCAAAATCGCCGAAGGTGGTTTGTACCCACCACTGAACACCTCAACTGCAGGTAATTATTAATTCAATCATTGAATGTTTTAATTTTGTATCGTTTTTCATATTTCTCATGCTCATAAATTGAGTTCAAACGTTAGCACATTTGGTTTAATTGCTTGATTTGAAAAGAATGGCTATATCTTAATATGTAAATAGTAAATATATGGATAAAGCAATTAAGTAGGACATGTTCCATCATTATTGACTGAAGCTGACGGTTTAGTGTTGAATCCTAAAGAGCCCGAAGTGCTGAAGCCAGTCCCGGCGACTGCTCCACCCGCGCCGGCCGCAGCCCCCAAGCCGCAGGAGAAACCTACTCCTACTCCTGCACCGCAACCCCAGCCCCAACCACAGCCTAGGCAGCGCCATCCAAGTAAGTAACGAACTTACTAAGTCGAAAGTAAACATCAATGATTCAATGACAATGTCGTAAACATAACATTAGTCTCACAAAATTATCTTAATAACTTAACTTTATCAGAAAGTAGGTAATTTTGTGTCTGAATCATCACATTGTTTTACTTTAATATCAAACTTTACAAAACTTAGTCATCAATATGATGGACATGATGTTAATGTTTATCGTAAAATTTTCCTGTGATCCAATTCAAAGACAAATCACGTAAGTTCTTGCCTTGATAGACAGTATCTATACTCTATACAACGGGAATTACCGCTTTTGTGTAGCGGAACAGTACCTACAGATTAAATAAATAATATCCCTATCTAATCGAAATAGGTACACAAGTACATAATATACGTAATATTATATGGAAATATTTTTTGCACTATAAATAAATCAGCTAATTGATAATAACATAAATAATTATTTTATAAAGTATCTATGTTTAATAAAAACGACTTCAACCTCCTCTTTATTGGTTAATTAATATTTTAATATATTAGTTCTACTAAGTGTAACAAACAATTCTCTGAAAATCGCATCAAAATCGATTCAGCTAATAGCGAGATAAGCGCGCACAAACATACATATATACATCCTGTCAGGTCAAATTCAGAACCTCCTTCCTTTTTTTTTAAGTTGGTTAATAATGAAAAGTGTAGGCATGCGAAATTCTGAGTAGGTAATATTATGTAGGTCAACGGTAACGAAGCGAACCGAGGGTCGCTATAGTATCGCTTTTGTTCATTGTTGCTTCATTTTATGCCTACATACTAATTATTACACTGTAGACTATTTGTTTCTTACTTTTGTATACATACGTGCTTATTTTATATGTAGGCTTCTGACAATCTGAAAACTGTATAAGTATGCCAGATTATTTGAGTAGACTTTGATATTTGAATGACCTGAATAAACAGATGACATGTATATTTATCGCGCGTAATACGGTCAGAAAGTGATTTAGTTACAATATGAATTGTGCATTATTTTAACACTATTTTCTTTACAGAACCACATATTGATGCGGCGATCCAGCATATGCTGGCTATGGGCTTCACCAACGACGGCGGCTGGCTGACTCAACTACTTGAGAGTAAGGATGGCAACATCGCTGCTGTGTTGGACCTTCTTACACCCGTCAAGAAGTAAACTTCAACATTATAAGTTATTTTGTTATTTTACTATGTTATTGCCTACTGATTACTATGTTGCTCTTATAATATTCATGTGATTTGTCTCTGTAGTTCTATACATATATCTATGAGACATGTAACTTTAGATGTGATTGAGAATATGTTGATATAATTAGTAATGTAGAATGTAGTAATGGTATATAAGTATGGACTTAGCCATAAACCATTTGTAGGTGCAGGGATATACGTTATATTATATACTATAAACATGTATCCTTCTAGTAGTAGTTTTAACTATCTTCTCTGTTACTTTGGATCTTGCCTAACTTAGTTTTTGATTGAAATGTATTTAATATATTGCATTATTATTTCACATTCCTAATACAGATTTTTTTATTATATCTTACTTACTTATCACTTTGGATATAGGTATTTTAAGTTGTAATTAAATTCTAAAACATTACAATTATGCTGTGTGGATACAAAACGATTGTGATATTTGGTTATGACTGAATTTATATAGTAATATGTATTTAGAGACATTATTAGGTATTTTAGAATTTAATTCTTTGTATAATGCATAAACCATTATGTATGTATGGTTATATTAAATTTAATTAATGGTAGTATCAATAAAGGAATTAAAGGTAATGTGTGTTTTAATTAACTTTAATTAGTATAAAATATTTTATCTTAGGAATCCATATGAATGCTTTTTAGTCTTGACCTGTGTCTCTTGTCTTTCTCGTAATAATGCTTCACCTAAAGCTTTGTCAAGTAACTTTGCTGCAACCCTGCAAAGCAAAAAGAAGTAAGTTTTAACTAATTAGGGTAATCAAGATGGTATTGATTTTGCGGAATTAATAAAAATAGGTATCTAGGTCATAAGTAAGGCAGATTCGATCTTCAACTGAGTCAAGTGTATCATGTATCTTAAAGAATTGTCATATGGAAGCTACAGTAACAGTGGCCTTCGTGTATGGATCAAAATTTGGTGACTTACATTCCTTGGTTCATGGCATCTTTCAAAGTTTTTGGTGCAACACTACCAGACCCTATCATTTCTATTGTGGTGAATTTGCTTTCTTTAGCAGAATCTGACACAATTTCTTCAGTACTATAGCTGCTGGGGTTTCCCGTGACCCCTACTACAACTGATATGACACTGCAACTTTCTTCTTCTGCTGATGGGTCTACTACGCATTTGTCACCAATTTTACATAGTGTCACCTGAAAATTGGTAAATTTAATCATTAATTTTTTCTAAAATTGATGTATCAAATGTGTATCTTACTATTACTAATATTATATATGCAAAAGTTTGTGAGTTTGTATAGGTATATGTTTGTTATTCCATCACAAGGGCTGAAGGGATCAAATTTTGGAACAGGGATAGATTATAGTCTGGAATAACACATAGGATACTTCTATCCTACAGGAATGGGGGTAAAGTTGCTGGTAGAAGATATTTTTTTCATAAATGAACGATTCAGCTAGTAAAATACATAATAATCTTACTAGTAAAGGTGCTGTTCCAATGTCTAAAGATTTAGCATCATAAGGGTCATCAGATAACTGCAAGTCTATATTCCCTCCATCCATAAGTGCTGCCTTTACTGATGGTAACTTCGTGTTGAAAAGCGCAGCTTTCACAGCCATAGACACTGCATCACAGAGATTACCTCCACATTCTAATATCTGAATGGAAATAAGAATATTATACAGTAAAATACAAACAATAAAGAAATAAATTCACTTACATACAATAACAGTTTTACAACAAGCGTTTCCAATACCATTGCAAAGCATATTATATTGACAAATATCGTTAGACATAATAAAATAAAATAAATAAAAAAGCCTTGTATTTCCCAATTACCTCGTCGAGTACCGTCATTATAGAACAATAGGTTGCGGTCACTGGTGACCGCTTGGTGTTTGCCAGTTTAAAAAGAAATATATGTTTCCAAAAAAAATTTTAGGGAACCCCTGAGGTGAAGGCTTCCTCCATCGTTAGACATACATGGGAGTAAATTTTTCAAAAAACTGTATTGTTGTCATAGTATTCTTACCAATATATCGACATAGATTTTCCAGCATTGTTTGCCCTCAAATATACAAAGTTGTTTCAAATCAAATGCATCTGAGGAATGGTATGCAGCTTGCATTAATTTGGCAATCCCTATAGCTAATTGTTCCCCACCTCTGCCTTCAAACTGTGGTGCTGCATTTGCTGAGCTAAAATAAATGAACACATTTCAAATGTTAATTTAATCAAGGTCATTGAAACATAGGTGGACACAGTCTCATGTAACAATGACTGTGGTACCTGGTTACTAAAGACTTACACGCAGAATATACACACATTGACATAAAGGACATCTGTCATTTTCTTAGGTCTGGTAACATGGTACCTCATTACACATGCACACATAAATAATCCACTGATATTTTGGTACTTCAATCATTTCTAAGTGACATTATGTAGGTCTATCTTTTTTTCAACGTCCTTGTTAATAATGTCACATTTAATAAAGTGCACCTCTCATAAGAGATTACTCTCTGTTCTATCAGAATATAGTGAGACTAGTAGATCTAGACAAGACAGTGCATTTCTAGTGTTGTATAGTGACAAACAAGAAGCAAGGAACATAATAGTAGAACAAGGAATCATGAGTATGTAATAGTGCTATACTCGACAGCAGCAGGTTAGTCACGTAAATATACTCACAAAAGCTCTACTAGTTTCGAACCATCGAGGGGTTCTTCCTCATGAGCAGTGTGTGCAGTCGCGGCTCAGTATATTCACATGAGTAACCGTCGACTTTAGTTAATTACGAATGTCTCATGATGGTTATTATAAAAACAATGCTATACTCACCAATCAACATAAAATTCAATCTTTCCTAAGTCAGGTTTTTCTGGAGTTGGGACATCTATTTCAGTTTTAACTCCAACAAGTATATCTGTGTTTGCAAGTCGGAGTCTCGATGATCCAGTGGCATGACTGACTACATTTGTCTCTAGTTCCATTGGCCGGTAATCAATATTGGTTCGTCCATCGGAGCGATGATCATCCTACATAAATACCAATACTTTTGTAGTAAACAGAAACCAATTATTGTGCAAACAAAAGAAACTTAGTTATTTCCATTCACAAATGAATTTGTAAATATTATAATTTAAATTATGATAAATCAAGAATATCAACCGTTAGGGAAACAGCGGAGGTCAAGTAGTGTGGTTGTGGTAGGTATGAGCGAGGACGGTTTTATATTCTGTTTCCAGTCACATTATCCATTGCAGGAGGAAATGAGCATTATTACATTACTAATTAAATGTATTCAAATCGAAGGTCCGACGATAATTGCTTATGATAACTTTGTTTTTACAAGTTTTTAAGGTTAGAAAACTTACCTGAACACCGTGCACGATAAACACTTTTTCAGTCGGGCTTAACAAGAGCCCAGCCATTTCTTAGAAATAATAAATAGCACAAATAATATTATTAGTTAATTAGTTCAATTTACTTTATTTTTGTTTTAAACTCTATAAAAACAGTTCACAAGTTCCCATTCACAAACCCCGGTTGTTGTCGTTCAGTACTGTCCAGGCCTGTCAGTGTCACAAATGTCAAACAAAAACAACACAAGTGGAATGTCAGTTTGACAAACATGATTTCAAAGGAAAAACAAAACGTGTTATTCCTCAGGCGGGAAAAATGAACTAAGTTTTGGGGACTACCTTTTTTGTTGAATTGACGACTTCATTCATGGCATTGTTGGGAATGTACTCGCGATGTTTTTGGTGCTGCAGGTGTTGCAATTGTTGATACAATTTGACGTTAATTTAATATTAAAATGCTTAATTAATTACTTGATGTACTTTTGATATTTTTTGAGGAGTGTTTAAACTTACCTATACCTAATAGGGATATATGAAAAAGTCTGGAGGAGGCCATCACCCTCACATAAGAGGGGTTCTTGTATGCCTGCAAATGCAAGATATATTATTACGATTTATGCACCTTAGGTATGGGTGTACCTAAACCTGCGTGCTGCGTGAGTACTAGACGCATGCTTACGTGTTAGGGCACTGTATGAGCCCCAAACCAACAGGCGTAACTGATAGAAGACCCAAACCTATAAGAGGCCCAGTCAAAGTTGGTAATTAAAAACCCGCTATCTGATGTCTATTAACATGCTATCTGATCCTGATGGCCCGGGCTTATTTCTTGTCAGATTTCGGCATATTATTATGAGAAAAGACAAGAATTGCGTTCAATTACTGCTACCACGTTAAAGGAGACGTTAGAGACGTACTTATGATTTTCGGAGCCGCAGAGTTATTAACTCATTGAGTACCGTCATTATAGACACAATTAACTCGTCGAGTACCGGTTTTGTAGACACAATTATAGAACAATAGGTTGCGGTCACCGGTGACCGCTTGGTGTTTGACAGTTTAAAGAACAATAGGTTGCGGTTACTGGTGTCCTCGCGGTTTTGACAGTTTAATGGGTTTCCGGGACTCCGGCTTGAAGAGCAGGACCAGGACGCACAGTATTAGAATTGGCCTATCTAGCTGGATAAAACCTTCAAAAATATTTGCATTATTCATGTGATAACTGTTTTCTTTTATAGCTCAGGTGTGTAGGATTATACAGAAATTTGTAATTCGACCACAATCTCGTATATCTCATATCTGTTCTTATTCTATAACCCCATACGAGATTCTGATCGAATTACAAATCACCTACAGGTTTAATACGTATTTAATGTAAGGTTTAATAAAGAACATGTAAATATGCAATAACGTACTTTATGTTGTACTTACTTGTTGATTGGGCAACTTTGGACTCCAACTTACCAGTCGGTTGCAGTCGTATCGAGGAAGTACTATTTTTTAAAGGAATTTTAATAACTTATCGAATAATGTTGGTTATTATCTTCGATATTTTGCGAACTTTTTGTTCTGTTGTGGTTGTAGGGATGAATGAAATTAACAATATTTGGGGGATCTAAGCCGTCTTATGAAAGAGGAGCGGTAATGACTTTTATGAAAACTCTTTTCAATTCGAGCAGTGCAATGAAGAAGTACACTGTCAGCAGTCATTCGTTAAAGGAGATTGCGAGTAAATTAGGCGGCAACCTTAGCTTGTAGTCACGCACGCACGATATAGATCCACTTAATTTATAAAATTACTAAAATATGATTGAAACTTTTAAAACTGCTTTTTTTTTCATTAAACAAAACACTATTTCGTAAATTCAAATCAGGTATTTAGGTTTTGTTCGCTTAGATCCGTCGAATCTAATACTGTGGGGCAGGTGAAATTGGTATCTTAGTTAGGCAAGATACCAATTAAAGTTATTTTCAGCATCTGTGAATTCACATTGATAAGTCAGTCATTGGTAAGTCTAATGCGGTTTTTATTCTCAAATTGCTTTATCTTATACCTGGATAAAATTTAACTCGCTGCGCTGTTTGATACCTAAGTACATGACCATAACAGGTTGTTAAAGTTATCTTAAATTTTATTGGTATTGAGATAAGCAGGTAGTTTCTTTACATTATTTAATCAATTGTCATTGTCAGTTAAGGAAGCGTTTATGATGATGTCCAACCTACACGTTTTAAGTACAAGTAGT